TTTTCTTGACTATACAACTCAATTTAGTATACATTATATTTAATTCAGTACGTATTACAATTACATGGAATAGAACTATTTAATTATCCGCTTTAAAAAAAAAAATAAATAAGAAATTATTACGAAAGAATATCATAAAATAATATAGAAAATGTTGTGAAATTGGTGTAAAGGATAGTTGTTAAACATTATTTCAATCTCTGGTACCGTATGTATGAGTTAAGCTGTCCGTCAAAAAGGCTATATATTATGTATCTCCTGCTCGTTTTGATCATTATATTTGAACTTTATGGTCTACTTCACAGGTCAACTTGAATATAAAAATGGCTGCTCTCAGCGGAAATGATGACCGGAAATAACGATGTTTCGTAATCGGTAAATTCCGTAAGGAATAAAAAAATGATTCTGATGATTAAATTGAACATCGTTTTTTTCTAACATAATTTTAGGTTTGTTCAATTGATTCAAGATATTTAAAACCATGTAAATATGTTTTCTCTAACTGTTCCGATCTCAACATCGGTAATTTTCGTATATATGACACAATATGATTGGTCAGATTTTAAAACTCTTCCGTACTGTTCTCTGATTGGTCAACAATATTTCACCCACGCCATTTTGAAAATTCTTCCCGGGACGTGTTGAGAAAGCTGGAGGTGATTTTGAATAAACTCTCATTTGCTCGCAAGTAAAATGGATCGAAAAACAGAAGTTCAGCATAATCATGGTACACAGGATCATATATATGAACCAAGGAAAGCAAATACATAAGGAGACTGACGTTTTTTAGGCATCATATCCGGACTTTTCTGGTGTAAACAACGACAGTTGCGGTAAGATTATGTATATTTTAGCACATTAAAGTTTAAGTTTTTTAAATAATAACTTAGTACAAAGATAGAGGAACAAAGAATGCCTTTTTTACCCATTTTGTAGTATTGTAGAAAGATAAAATAGTACGGTTATTGGCCATGTGGGGAACAAGGGTTTTTGTGATAAATTTTGATTGGGGAGGGAGGGGTGGAAGATGGGGGTAATTTTCAAGCCTTTGGCTTCCTATTTCTAATTCATTCTAATTTTTTCAAGTTTACCAGAGACGAATTATTTATTTTCCCTTCAAAAACAATTCTGTAATTTGTATAAACTCAAATTTTTTCGAGGGGGGGGGGTAGGTTGGGTTCGGGGGGGGGGGGGGCAGTTTATTTAAATAACATTGTGGCACACATTTTGTTTACTCTTTCAACGTTTTCAAGGACAGATTGTTTATAACAAATATTTTTTAAAAAATATTATATAAATCAGTCCCCCCCCCCTTTTTCTTCTCCAGATTGTCAAATCAAATGGTTGTCCCCTAAGAAACACCCCAGATTAAAGAAAAGTAATTTCAATGGTACAATTGTATGGAATTTGGTGAACTCCGCTGGATCTTTTGGAATTTCAATTTATAATTATTGTTAATTTCAGTCAGCAGAACATTGAAGAAAAGCTGATTAGTCATGGAGGAAGAAGATCCCTCTCAAGAAAGTATTGCAGGTGTGTGAGCTAAACAAAATCTATAGAGAATTATTTTGGATGTGAAAATGTGTGTTTTGTTGAGGTAATGGTTCATTAAATTTTATTATTATATCATTCTGTTCTATATTTCACAGTGATGAAGTCAGATGAGATGACAGGTTGTGTGATTTGAAGATGGACTTCTGCAACAAAGTAAACACTCCTCTACTTTTTCCATACAAAAGAAACAGCAAAGCAGAGAGATCGAAACAGTTGGTAAAAGTACAAAGAAAACAGGATTAGTTAAACTTGTGAAAAATATCAAGACTATTGAAGAGCAGATTATATGTAAAAAGAAAGATCAAGACTAGAATTGGTAGCTGAATCAGTAGCCTGGCCACATTAATTACTTTTTAATTAGCTATTTGTACATTTAAGGTAATCTGACTGAGTTACTAAAATTGTTATTTAACAAATATTTCAAATAAATAAAAGATTTTTGAATAACAATCAATAGATGCTATTAAGAACCTCAATCTCCAACCCCTTTTCTTCAAATAACAATTTTTGCCCATGATCATTTTTGTAGTTTTTAAAACTCTGTTTTGTATTATTTTAAGCATTTAAATGTATTTTTTGTCTATCATTCTTGTACTTTTTTGATATTTTTGAAATACAATCCTTCATGCTGATAAAAATACAAAAACAATACATATTTATACAAAATTAATACATTCTATATTTTTTTCATACTTTTTTGTGTACTGTATTATTTTCATATTTTATATCTTTTTTGTACTTTTAATTGTTCCAGATGAAAAAATACAAAAATAATATATGTGATACAAAATTAATATATTCTATATTTTTTTTGTATTTTAATTCTTAAAGGTGAAAAAATACAAAAATAATATATGCTAATACAAAATTAATACATTCTGTATTTTTTCTATACTTTTCTATGGACTGTATTATTTTTATACTTTGGAGAGGAAAATAGAGAAATAATACAAAAGTACAAAAACAATACGTTTTTACAGGTCATGTGTATCATTTCTGTATTATTTCGAAAAAATAAAGTATATTAAAAATATATTTTTCTGTGTTTGGCTTTTAAAAAGTCAATTATTTTTGACCTAAATTGGAACCAAGATTTAGAGGGTTCCAAATTTGGTCATTAAAAATATACTTTTTTTGTATTATTTTAGTATTTTTTTCTTGTATTATTTTTGTATTCATTTTCGATATGGGATATAATTGAAAATTTGAGCTGATCGGCTCTTTATATTAACATGTACTCTTTTAGATAAATTTGAATTGACATTTGAATTTTTTGAAATTTGAATAAAAAAAAAATACTATCATAATGAAACAGGTTGTTAAATTGATAGATATAACTGCATGAAGTTTACTATCGCTCAACATGTCCAACAGAGATTGATATTTCAACAAAAATCCATATACACATGTAATAATATACAAAAAGTGAACAATACAGATTTTTATCAACTCCTCTTTATTACTTTTTGGGGTAAAAATCTGCTGATTTTACACCATATTTACACTCTTAAAATACAAATGTGTCTATCAACTATTTTAAAATATATCAAGGCCATATATCAATATGATTTTTTTTATCCTTATAACAATTGTTTTTAAAGAATAATCAATAAATCAGTGCATGTTAGATTTTGTTTAATGTTTCCCAAAGGGCGAGTGAATGGCGGTGTTTATTAATACAAGGATCTAGCCATCATTGCCTTCATTTTCTAGACATTAATGGACTATAAATCAAAGATGTGTTTTATTATAGGCATTAGGCAAAAGTTTCTGTTAATTCAGCCAGTTTATTGAATATGTATTATATATAAAAAGTTTGGGGGTTAAAAATGACTAGAAGGTCAGTGAACTTGGATTGATATGAACTTTGTATTTATATTGAAAACCAATACAAATCCCTTCCTACACACTAAACCTTAGTTTTATATGTTTGCCTCTTTACCAAGTTTAATTTTAATTGTTTCCAATTTCTTTTCTACCAATGTCAGATGAATTCCAAAAAGTAGACGTAAACACAGTTTTGGATAAATTACCATTAAGAATTTGCTCAACATAATCACTGATGGACAAACAGATTCGACATATTCTTACACTTTTAATTTGTATTAATGTGACTGAAAACCTTGAATAAAATACCTTGTAAAGAGAATAAGTCAGACAAGACAAGCATGGCATACAGACCGTACAGGCTGCTACAAGCGGATTAACATGGGGATGACTACTGAGGATTATTTGTAATTTTTAAGTGTTTCAATAATTACAATTACCTGTTATATCACATCCTATATACTTCCTATTTATCTATTATATTCACTCTCATTTTGTTATATCTTATAAAACATTATATATATGTTTAGTTATTACTGTAACTATGTACTCTGATGTGTTGTATGACACAAAGAAATAAAGAACTTGAACTAATGACACGTTGTCTCTGCTGGCAGGGAACAAAATATTGTTAAAAAGACGAAATAATCCGCAACTTCTCTGAATTATAAAATGATTGAGCATGACATGTAACAGGACTTTTAAAATGCCAATTTCTTTGAATTTTATTGTATTTATATATTTTAAACATAATACAAATTAAGAGTTCTAGATTTCTTCAATTAATTAACCTCCAACATCAAAATGAGTCATCATGGTATCAAGAATAAAGACTCCCAAACAACAACAAGATATGTAAGGTGCGCCTGGAACAGCCAAATGTCACTAATTAAAACAATTCTAGTCAGCATATTGCATCATGTTGAAAGTAACTAATGAATGCATTCTAACATGTTGAGGGTCCATTTCGACTTCCTCCAAACATTACAAAACATCATTATCTTTTGCTTTTTTTAAATTTTATTTGTCAGCAGATGGTCTAACTCCAGGAAATGCTAGTTTTTCATCTGAGCTTGATGTGATTCATATCAGATGTAAATATCATCATAAAAGACAACAGTAACAAACACGCACACAAGCTTCAGAGTTTTTCTTATTAATGGCTCCTGTTTTTCACAAACATTGTGTATGTCAGGAAATTTAATTTAGGTATTAATTTAATGATCTATTGATATGGTATTCTGGGCCCTTAATTCTTTGTACTTGAGGATGGGATCTGGAACAGCTCGTATTTATACTTATAACAAGAAGCAATGCTATTGTTTTATTTTTGCAAGTCTGAGGAAACCTTTGTTCCTTTTGTTCATAAATTTGTTTTTGCCTTGATGAAACCTTTGAAAATTTTAAACAAGGAAATCCCCAGTGTAAGTTGCTATGTAAAAATTATACACTTCAGTTAAAATGCACCTGACTTTATAACCATCCTTCTAATAATAAGTTTCATTAACAATACCTAATTAAATTATACCTTTAGGTTTCTTTTTTCCAATTTAGAAATTTTCTAATACAAGACCAAACTTCAGTACTACAAAAATTAAATGCAAATATGTCATGTTTACCTTGAGGGGCCCCAAATGGCTGAACCAGGCATGCTAGGAGAAACTGGCGTTGCTGAATCTGTATCTGCTGAATTTGCTGCACAAGTTGCTGCTGTTGCACAGCTAGCTGCTGCAACTGTTGTTTGTTGTTCTTGCTTTTATCAGAAGAGCTCTGCATCAGCTGAGATTGTTGAATGACGTTTAACTGAAGTTGCTCATTAAGTTCCTGAAGTATGTGTTCTTGAAGTTTCTGCTGCTGTTCAGAAAAAGAAAAAAAAAACTACTTTAAATATCAGTTGAATATAAGAATATTCAAAAAAAGAAAACACAATCACCCAAAGAAAATGGTCAATAGAAAAACTTATGTCTATATATGCAAGAAAGAATAGGACAAAAATATATTTGACTGTGTGTGCTGCAAAATGTACAAGCGGAAACTGTGTTCCTTGTCAGCACTGACAAATTAAGAATAAACTGTTATTATTTACTGTCTGTCTCTAAATTTGGACCACAGACAGCTAAATTTGTGTAATTATGTAAATTTTACCCATGTAAAGATAAACAAAGGCTCAATTAGGACCTAAACAAATGGTGGTGGTTTCCTTGCCTGAATATAAATTAAAAAAAACAATAGACATGCTGGCTTTTTCATCACAAATGAAAACAATATCACTTGATGCCTCTTTCATTGTTTCCGAATCTGCATGGACTTCCCCCTCGTCTTAAAGAGGTTATAAACCTAACTTCATTGTAACCAGTTTTAGGAATAGTAACACAACTAAGGGCCCAAGTCTAACATTTTAAGAGGAAATGACATTTTTACAAGGAAATATAAACAATTGCAGACACTGATGAACACTTCAGTATATATTTACTGCTCGATAGAAGTGTTCTCACAATTTTATTTATTTATTATGTAAGTAACTGTCATGATAAAAAAATTATATATTGAATTAATGTATATTTTGCTCTGGGTAGAATAATTTTCCCACTTCGATTAAAAAAAACCCTCTATGATAATTTTAATACAGTATTTGATCTAAAGTCAGAGTCACAAATCATTATTCCTTAATTTATTATAAATGTCAGTCTTATTTCTAAATTTGTTATGAAATACATCGTGATCACATAACTAACACACCTAAAACACCACATATATAACAAAAAAAGGAGGGATAAATTTTTGCTTTCTTTTGTAAGATAGTGTTAATTATAGAAATGTGACAGGCAGCGGACAAGATGGTAACCAAAAAGGTATGAACTATTTGTTCTTTCTGCCCCAAAAACTTGTGATTTTCTAACAATTTGTGCCATATAGCCTCTGGACACATACCTATATATACTTAGCATCTGGTCAACTAAGGTTTAAGGAAGGTCAAAACTTCACTGTTCTTCAAATACTGGTCATATTTAGTACTCATATTTAGAAATATCATTTTTCTTTGTCTACAGACCATTTTATTTTTTATTTATGAGTAAAACATGCAAATGATCTGAAAAACGAGACAAGTTGCCTCTGAACGAAAAAGGCTTAATTGAAAAATGTTTTTGCCTGATTCATTCATTTTGTCTGATTTTCTTGTTAGCATTACATAACAAGTATAATAAAATTTAATATCTGACATCACTTAAATAGCTTCTGTATTTAGATATTCGTGTATTCATAAATGACATATATTAAGAAGAGAAGTACCAATTAGACTCTAATATATAATACTGTCTGATACGCTAAAAACTTGTAATACAAAATTTCATTGGTATACCTGGTGTTGCAACATTGCTGTCTGATGTTGCATCATCTGCTGCTGAAGTTGCTGAGCTGTAAGACCCTGATTCTGTTGCTGAAGCAGCTGCTGCATCTGCTGGGGGAGAACCCCATGCTGGGCCGCCATCATCATGAGAGGCTGGCTGCCAGAATTGAGCTCTATGGCACTGTTGGACTTGACTTTACGTTTAGCTGCACTTTGGCTAGGGGTGGGAGAGTTGGGGCCCGGGGAAAATGATCCAATTCCACGATGATGTGGGCTTTTATCCTCTGCCTCTTGCAAAATGGGTGAGGGTCCCTTGAAAACAAATTATTATAAAAATACATGATATATGTAGAAAAAAAAAAGTACCATGTGACTGCTTTATACCAAAACTTGCAGTCAGCAAATTAACTTACAATATGTAAACTGCTGTCTGATACGGTTAAATGAAAAACTAATTATAATTTCATTAATAAACAATCAATAAACCAAATAAATGCAAGTTCTACACAAATTTCAAACTCCCTGGCTGTAACTGTTTATAATATTCTTTGCAGTTTTTAAAAAGCTTTTTTTAATAAGGGTTGGTGGGGGGTTACCTTGACATCCTCGTCCTTCATACCGCCGTTTTCTGCCGTCTCTCGTCCTGATGAGAGATTAACAGCGCCATCTTCACATTTCTCCATCATGCCATTCTCCTAAAAAGACATTATGTATATAGTGTCATCATTATTAGGTTAAATATCATTCCACTGAACCATTATCACATACCTGCAAATAAATATATGTACAAATAGATACATTTGCACCTATATATTTGACAAAAAAAAAAAAAAAAAAGATGTTGCATAATGTAAGCAGGTAAAAACAACGTAACCTAGGCAATTTATGCTAAAAATAAATAGGAAATTCTGCATATTAACCTACTGGAAAATATTCCTGGGTTGAAATAAAGAATTGATGATAAATATATCCTAATAACTAGAAGCCATTATCATCATATAAATTTAATCTATCATTGGTATTTTTTAGAGTGCAGTTTCTCTCCTTCAATCAATAATTACATGCAGTCTATATTTTAATATATACTTATTTAATTATTATTTTAATCTGAAATCTTATTCCTCCAAAATTAAACTATTATTTACTGTTATTTAATAATATTTCAATCTACTTTTAATTATAAATATATATATACTACTTAATTTGTGTAGCTCAGGTTGATGACCAATTCATAATCCTCCAACTGCACCTTGCATATTAATATGCCGAGTGCATGCACTGTAAATATCTTTTGCTTAATGTGTGTTACTAGGTCACATTCATGCTACCTTCACCATTCTTTAAAAAGTTCTCCTTCAACAACTAAATTGACAATATCCTGACTTAATAAGATTACAAATGTATGCTTTGTATAAAACATATTGAAAGATTATCCTTTATAGTAAGGTAACACTTCTAATGACATAATCCCTTTCCCTCTTGACACTATGGAAGAATAGACATGTACCAAAAATAAATTCTTGTCAATTTTCATAACTTTGTACATATAATTAAAAATAAAAATGTATAGTTCTAAGGCACCTGATTTCCGTTCTTTGATTTTTAATTCCATTCGTAAATTAACAATTAACAGGCAGTGAGGCCAAACAATAATTATTGTTAGTAAATTTTGTGAAATATATAATAAATTTTCTGAAAATTAAGAGACTGTCTCTGACATTTGTAAAGCACATAAACATAACTAGAAATCAAGTTCATGGAAACAGCAATTTTAATTTCAATCTATTAAGACTTGTAATATGATAAAAAAAATTAGATAAAGGGAAGTAAGTGGGCAATATATTATACCAGCTGATATTTCAAATATTAAAGTCTTTAAACCAATATTAATGACATCATGTTCCAATCAAAATGTTGCCATCAATGATGATTAAGATACATATAAATGTATAAATTGTCTAGCAATACCTATCATTAGATTAATTTTTAAAGTACACGTATAAAATTTGTTGTGGAAAAAAAGGTTAAATATTTCTATATGACAATGGCTCAAAATCAGACAAGGAATTTAATTGCAAATCTGGCCTACAGCTAGTTATTATGAGGTTTAATTGGGGCATTATTAATTATGGCATAAAAGTCGACACAATAAACTGGCCTCTAGGAGGCATTTATATTAAATGATTGTTTTTGTTTATCGTGACCTGCGAGACCGTAGGAAACAAAATAACCGCTTAACCATAAACATACTTCTGTTGTGTTTTCCATCAAATCTGATCCTGTATGAGCCGATCATATTTAAAAAGCTGTTTATCAAATTAAAATCTAACAACATAATCAAAGATATTAATCTCATATCAAAAGAAATGTGATTTTGCAGAATATATCAACCTGAATACACAACAATAGCACTTTATGATTTGTAATACCAAGGGTCCTAACTTTGGCAAATACCCCTATGGCGTCCTCATGCACTATGCCCTTGTATGAAAGCATTGTTAAATTCGGGATTTATTGATCAACGATCTGGTAAAAGTCAGGTGTTGAAAACTGATCCTTTGCAGTGAAGATAAATATTACAAATTGAGTCCCAACAGTTTAAAAAATAATTACTTACAATGTTTTAGGAAAAACATATTTATATACATGGTGATAGAAACAGAATGATACCGAATTATGTTTTAAATTAATAAACAATTATATATATATCCACATGATACCTACTGTCCAAAATGTTGTGTGGGAAAAACACCATCCTGACTACCAAAAGTGTACAGCAATTTGTACATACTATAAACTTGCTTGATAAGGCACCAATAAACAAATGTTTGTAATTCTTATCAACCAGTGTGTGTCTTAAAATAACAACACTGCATAATCTAAGACAGAAGAAAAAAGGAATAACAGAGAAATTAAGAAAAAAAAAAACTATGAATCAATGATATGGTTTCATCCACTCCTCTACATCACATTATGATTACATTTCTAATCAGCCTTCACCATGAGATTTTAGGTGATTTGCCTACCATAATTTTTTTTTTTTAATTTATTTCTTGCATATGTTCCGAATATATAGCTCAAGCCCACTGAACCGCCTGCATAACTTTATTTTGGATGGTGTATAATGATAGACTAGTCAAACAAGTTAGCACTCATCTAAAAACAATAGTCGTTATGTATTTTGAGTGGGTCTGTTTAATCACTTAAAAAAAATTGAAGGATGGTAATATATGCCATAAAAAAAAACACAATGACTGCACACATATTACATCATGGGACCCTCTACTACTGACGTTACACAATGCTGAAGGAAACAGCTCAAACAATCATTCATAAAATTTACATGATTATTAATAATTTGTTTTGTTTATTTTGCAATGACACTGTCTTGCAATTGATGGTTCTGTTAGTGTAAGTACGTTCTCAAAATGACAAAAAAATATAAACAAAGCAAGACTCTCTTGTCTGTTTTTATTGGATATATACATTTGAGAATATCAATTATCGTCAATTCTCAAGTTTTCAAAGAATATTACCAAACAGGAGTATTTCCCAATCACTGGAAAAAGCATTTTCTTTTTTTTTTTTTCAATGAAATGTCCTATGATGTCATTTTTCTTTTAAACCTCAAAATTAAATTTATAAACATTTTGAAGTTGATTCTGTTAATTTTCACAAATCATAGTCATTATTCACAAAATATTAAACTGAATTCAAGACTCCATTTTTTTTTAAAAATGTAACCAAGTACGAATGATCTCATGAAAGTCATGTACCCTATAGTACCCTTACCTAAATTACCATTACAATAGACTTCTTACCTCACATATTCCGAATTTTTGTCCTCTATGGCGAGACAAATTCATTTCCCCAGAAAGTGAAGAAGTGGGACTTGAATGAGAACTACTGCCAGTACTTAATATGTCCCGACGACGATAGTACTCAGACGGACTCAGAGGAGAGTGGCGGTCACTTCCACGGTACTGACCATGGGTCAAGTCCAGCTCCAGCATCTTGGCATGTTCGGAAGTGGGCAAACACAGAGGAGGGGGATGGGGAAAGTCAGATTTGGTTCTCTCTGAGGGGGAGAATAAATGTGGGTCTTCTCTCTTGAACCTGTCTTCCAGAAAGGGAACTGATCCCCGTCCATATATCTGAGAAATGGCTGGGTGGATAAATGAGGGATGTGGGGGAAAAGCAGCATAGAATGGAGGAGAATCTACAGGAGAATGAGCACTGTCACACTTCATACTGGACATCTTTGAAAAGTCAGACCGCGAATCTCCAAGTAGCATGGTACTGGTAGACCCAAGTCTTCTGTCCTGCTGTCTAGGAGGTGGAACAGTTGGTGATCTCGTCAGTGCTGAAGTCAATATTTTTTTTTTCTGAGCAGGAAGAAATTTTTTTGGATTCACTATTTCTTCCAAATTTAACCCACTGCAATTAGATGCAGGAAACACTGATGATACACAATGAGAGGAAAACCATGAGTTGACAAAGGGTAATCCAAAAATTTGCTTCTTCACACAGCCCAAGTGTCTCTTTCCTCTCGACAGAGTTCAGAATGCTGAGCAGAACAAAGTTTTTTTTCCCTCCCAACTCTAAGTTGTTTTTTTTTTCAAACAAAGCAAAAAAATAATAAAACTGTCTTAGAAATCAATAAGTGCTTCACACAGCAACACTTCAATTTTTTCTATAAATATCAGAAACATCCAAGTGTAGGCTGATAGAAGAAAAAAAAATCCAAATAGTGAAAAAAAAAAAATCAACAATTAAAAAAAAAAAATCCTTTAAGGAAAAGAAAAAGCTGGCTAAATAGAACAAGACACTGAGAGTCAGTCACTCTTCATACTACTAGTCAGGTGTTGAAGCTGATACTGAGAAAAACAGCAGTGTGCTGCGACTGACAGTGGGTAAATGACTTGCTAAGTAGAGCCGTCAATCACCAATAGCACATAATAGCAGACAAGTAAACCATGTTAAACTGACATACAATGTTATTGGAAGTTAGTCAACCGACAGCCGGTTCAAAGGTCATAGGGCAAACAAGACATTTCCTTCACAGTGTTGTGGGTTTTTTTTAATGGTGTATTGAAAACATTTGAAACAGTACACCATTTTTGTTATTCCTTTTTATACACAACATTAATTATGAAAAGAATATATTTTCATTCTTGGTTGCTTAAAAATTGCAGAATTATTTTTTTTTGTCCCTACATAGGTGTTATTCTCTTTAGAGAAGTGGACAGGCTTTCGCGGATGTAGGCGAAAGCCTCTCCACTTCTCTAAAGAGAATACAGAGATGTCAGCAAAATAATAATTCTTTAAGACATATTCCTAACCAGCTGAACTAAATTAAAAAAAAAAAGAGAGAAATTATGAGAGAAAACACAGAAAAGGGAAAAAAAAACAAGAAGAAGCAAAAACACAAAAACAAAAAAAAAACATCTCCCCCTACAAAAAAAAATCTCTGACATTTTTTTTTTTGTGATTATCAGTGGGATACAATTTATATGGGAATAAAAGAGCACTTGGGAAAAGTTTATGTAAAATTTTTGTCTTTATTGTTTGTCTCTTTCTCCAACACACTTTTGGAGACCAATTCTCTCTTTGAATGTACGTTAAGACACATCCTATGTGCATGTAAGTTAACATGGTCAAGCTTGGAATGCATCTTTTTTTTAATTAAATATAAACTAAATTACACTCCTTTTTTCATTATCTTTATCTGTGGAAATATATTTCATGATTCGAGACAAATCAATTACTGAAAGTCAGGTTTTGACTGACCTTAAAAATATAATTTGCTCTGATGCCAAATGTTGTTCACATATGTGATAATAAATTAATCATATCTTGACAACAGTGAGTTTCTTTAAGACCTAGAAAGTTTCTTTCAATCTTAATTTACAACTTACATGTTCAAAGGGAGACAAACTTTACTGAAACACATACTGCATGAACACTTTAATCCAATAAATCCACTCCTTTTAAGAATACAACATTTATATCCATGTGAATATGTTTGAAACAGAGACTAAATTGGTCAAAAATTATATAGGTTCAAGCAAGTTTAAAGTACTCAAGATAACAGAGTGCAAAAGCAAATTTACGAACTTGTTAACTAATCAACAGACTTTTTCAGGGGTTAGGTGCTAGATTTAAGGGAATATAATCTTGATATACACTTCAGGGAAGGAAGTCCTTCAAGTGAGAAAACAATTACATTTTTTTATGAATATGCAATTACCTTTTTCACGGAGAATCTTCATGAATGGTCGGACGTGAAAACTGTGTAGGGAGAGGATCCAAGATCTTCTAAGAACTTCCGGGGCCTGAAACAACAACGATTCATCATAGTCCACAGGAAATATTATAAGCTTACAGGTATCACTCAAACAATACTGCAAAAGTTTCAAAACTTCCCTCTAGACAAAATTTGCATGAAATGGAAATTAATTATAACAGTTATAAAATGTCACAAGCTATCGATATTCATAATTTCTCTTGTTTAATAATTATAAAACCGCTATGTTTTAAAAATAGTCTGTATTAAAATTTGTGCATCCTTCCATCAATAAGAATTTGATGACCCACTGAATATTATTATTTTGTGGTTAATTTTTTTTTATCTTCCTATCAAGACAATTAGTTCGTGTCCTTTTCCAATAGATGACACAACAGAAAGTTATTTTTAAACACCTATTAATACAAAAGCTATGGCATTATCCTGCAATCTCTCACAAATTTGTAGAGTACAAGAATGTAAAAAGACATCTTTTTTTTGCCCCACAAAATAACTAAAGTCATCCTGCACAGTGCATGGTCATTTATTTCCTTTACTCTTGACTAATCTTAATTCAACAGATAAAAAATAATATTCATAACATTTTATAGTAAAAAATTAAGCTCATCTAAACATTTTTAAAAAAGAAAAAAATATTCAGGTAAAAGAAACATAAATATATGATTCAGTTTACATTTTGCATAATATGCAAATTGTTTACAAAAATACACTGCCTTACGTAAAAAGATAAGAATAGAGAAACTGATTTGAAATGAATTTCTTTACACAAAAATTAAGGAAAAAATTAACATTCAATCAGGACTGAGCTACAGGTACAAAGTTTACTCATGCAGTCCAAGATGGTGGATTTAAGGCAGCTCGGAGCTATTAAAAGACTGCCTTAATGAGTAAAGGATCATTCATTCTTAATATGCATGTACCAACTCTCCTTGAAGTGCAAGTTAATTCTTATGAGAATATAAAATATATAGGCTCTATAATTATATTTTCATAATTTTTTTTATTTCTTTCATATTACACTCCAATATTTTAAAGTACTTTTTTCCCCTACTTTTTTCCCACTTCTTTCTTTCTTTTTTTTTTTAAGGGACTTTAAACTTTTTGTGTTAAAAGTGCTAACAAATTATTAAAAAAAAATTGAAGAAAATTTGACTATATATAATAAATTAAAAGGAAAATTATGCACTTTTAGCTAATTACAGAGATAATGTACCTGCATTTTCTTTAACAATTAAAACATACTATCTAGAAACATGCACAATATGTCATGTTAATAATGACCCCCACATGACTGGTAAAGCCTACTAGTGTCTGAACAACACTTGATTTCACAGCTAGTGGTCATTGTAACAAATCATAAAAATTAGGTTCACAATGACCACCAGACACTGGATTCTCAGATAGTAAACTATTGTCACTTTTATGTCCATAGTGTGCATGTTGTCATTTACTGAAACCCCAACATCTACTGATGCATTGTGGGGGAATTCCCACAGTTCCATCATAGAGATGGCATTGTTTATTGAGACAGAAACATGTGTATGTCTTGTTTTTTATTTGGTTGGATTGTCACCTCTAGGCTCACTCTATTATACCTGAATCCTAAACAATCATCAAAACACATGTTGTTCTCTCCCTTTGTGCTGACATGTAATACTTATTACATAAGTATACATTGTAGACAGGCAACAATTCATTAGTTGTTAACAACTTTATGATTAGCACATGAAAGATACAGCCCCCTCTGTCATATTGTTGTGAACTAATTAAGGACCGAGACAAAAAGGGACTATCAAGATTTCAATAGGCCATGCACATCAATTAACTGAATTCACTGGATCATGATTTCTTCATATCCTGTTTAATACTAAAGCATAAGTGGAAATTTTAGCAAGACACAAATTCAGTGAATCATCCAAAAATATTGATATATTTTAGCGAGAAGAAATTTTAACAATTTTATAATGTCAAGAAAAATACAGTCCCTGAAACATTCTACTTTCCCACTTGAACGGTGAGCGAACGCTGAACGAACGGTGAACGAACGCTGAACAAACGCAGAGCGAACGGTGAGTGAACGATGTGTGAACGCTGAACGCAACTTGGTGAACGATGTGTGAACGCTGAACGGTGAGCGAACGCAGAACGCGAACGGAGCGCGAACGCAAAGTGAACGGTGAATGAACGGTGAACGCAAGCTGAACGATATATTCGGAATGCCTCTGATCTTTTCCTTGCATTGAAACTATTTTATTGTTTTATCATGTCAAGTGCCAAAAAAAAAAAAAAAATAAATCAATAATAAATAAGTAAACCAATGAATGAATGAATAAATAAGTCAATAAAATAAATTCTCCAAAATTGTCCTGAGAAAGACGATGCATGCACATTAAGTTTTTAATCACACGATTTTTATCGCATTAAAACATTGCAATTGTTGCTGAACGCTGAAGTATAAGAGATATTTTTTTATTTGGAAATTAAAAATGTTTATTCTTATTTGATAACAAATCAGAGAAAACTTCTGACTTATAGAATGAATTAAAGTGGTTGTAACATCCATTCATATATCTCCATGTTAAGGCAATTTCGTGTAAAGTAATGAAAAAAAAATAATTACATAGGTCAGTGGACGTTTTGCATTATACGCTCGTATTTTAAATTTTTAATACAATAATATATTATGTGTCATTTCTATTTTACATGATGATTTATCAGGCCCGTAAGAAGCAAATTCGGTTGGGGGGGGGGCACAGCCATACGTTCAGGGGGCACTACCAAAAATTTCCTGACAAGCAAAAAAAAAAAAAAAAGAAGATCATCAGACTTTTTATTGCGGGGACACAAGCATATAATATCTATGTTTACTATAATAATCTATATATCGGCAAAATTATTGGGGAGGGGGGCAGGGCCCCCTTGCCCCCCCCCCCCCCTCGGTTCCTACGGCCATGTTTACTGAGCAGACTTCTACATTTATCTGTAGATAAAGATACATATTCATATTATTGTATTCAATTTTCAGAACTTGATATTCAAGTAATATGCTATAATAGTTTTTATTAAACAGACAAATGAGAGAGAGAGAGAGAGAGAAATATTCCGTTTTAGCTAGCCCCCCCCCCCCTCCCATTTCAGGCTTCACTACATGTTTGTACCCTTATCAGACAAAAACTCTGAAATTTTTTTCTAAGTATATCAGACAGTGAAAGTAACTTCTTTTTTTTTTTTATCAACAAATCAAATCCATTTGTTTGACAGTCATACTCGTTTTTATTTTCCTGCTTCAAGTTCACACGAAGTCCACGTGCTTGTCCTGTCAATCAAAATC